TCCTGTCGCTTCTGTCACACTGCAGCCAAGCTGCCCTTGACATTGGAACTAGAAACTTTGCTTTTCCTGGCCTTGTGTCCAGCTGTGCACCCTGGAAGTGTCACAGGGATAGAAGAGAGTGTTTCCGTTGCCTTTATTTAAAGACTAAATCCCTATAGGGACAGCTTAGTGGTACTGAGAGTTTTCTGAGTTTGAGCAGGTTCTCCAGAATTTGAGAGTAAGTTCTGTGTTCTCCCTGTTGATGAAGCAATTGTCTCTGTAGTGCTGTTGCTAATTTGGGGTTCTGGAAGCGACCCTTAAGCCATAATGAAGCGTGAAGGTGTGTTGCATGGAGCAAGTGTTGTGTGGATGGCACCTGGGTGAGCCAGGGACACTGGTCAGCTTGTCTGATGGCCATGGCCATGGCTGTGCTGTTGCAGTCGAGGTGTGAGGGTGAAGCTGAGCAGTGCCCGGTTTGTTGGGCAGCTCTGCTCAGAGCAAAGCTCAAGCAGTGTCTCAGGGCACCCGTCCCTCCTACTGAACTTGCACTCAGCTGCACTTCCCCACTGTTATTTTGGGCCCTGAAGCAGCAAATAGGGTACAAAAGTATTTTAAAGTATATATTAATATATACTTTATATATTTAAGTATATATTTAAGTATATTTTAAATATATTTAAGTACCAAAATAGAGATGCTAAAATGACAGCTTTCTAAACATGGCACTTGGCAGCATGAAGGGACAGAGGAAAGTGGAGGTGGTTGGATTTGGAGGTGGCTGGATTTGTGTCTCAGCCACCGCTGTATAAGCTTGTTGTGACCAAAATGAGACTCTGCTCTTACAACAGGGTTCACCGAGCTCCCCCGGAGCTGCCCCCTGCTTTGAAAAAGGGTTCAGCTGCTCCAGCCTTTGGCTTTCCAGGGAGTGTGCCAGGCACATCAGGGTTTGCCTGCCGTGGCCACGGCTTTGCTGTGCTCCTCACATCCGCTGGCGGCTGAGACCAGACCTAAGGCTTTAACCCGGAGCCTCAAAAAGCAAGCCAGCTCAGTCAGCCCAGTGCAACCAGCAACTTCTCCAACTGTTTTTAGGTTCCCTGAAATGCTAAGCCTCTCTTGGAGCAAGGCTCCGGTAAGTGGAGGGAAGCAAACTATGTTTCTATTTAACTAATTAGCAGTCCTGTGTCCCGGCCAAAGCACACACGATGTTACAGCCATTTTTAAGCTTTTACATGCCGGCATAACTGCTGCTGAGGCAGCCAGAAGGAGCTGCAAACTAGCGAAGAGCCAAGGAAGGGCTGGGACAAGGGGCCGGATTCTGTTCAGTCAAATCCCGTGTAAAGCTGGGTAACGTCAGCGACTTAAGGAGAATTACCGCAGATCACCGGTAGCTTAGAATAGCTAGAATTTTGTTCCTTTTTTTAGTGCTCAGCTGTTGTTGCTTTTTGAGTAGTTCCTACTCAGAAAGAAGCAGTCCCTTCCGAAGGTATTTCAAGACGCATCTTCCCTCTGTGCCCCACTCTTCTTCCCTCAGCACTTTCTGAAAGCGTTCTTCTCTCTGGCACTGATTTAATCTCTTGAAGACTACTTAGTGGCTAGCTTCTGCTGGCTTCTCCTTTGTGTGCCACATGCAATTTTTTCCAGGGCAGTCTGAGGGTGGGGTAACCAGCCTCAGGATGTAGCCGTGAAGGAAAAGCAGGCCAAGCTGCCACAAAAGACCCAGGCTGGATTAGCAGTGAGCAGACAGTAACACACAAATGGAACTGTAGCTGGGACAAGCAAGAGTTTCCAGCAGGCAGAAGCTGTGCTGCCCGTGCCTTGCGAGGGCTGCCATGGTCCTGCAGTATTTGCTTTGTGTTCCTGTTGTGTTTGGGACACAGTGTTAGTGGTGATGTGACTTGTGCACCCCTGGCACCCTTCAGAAGGAGGTGGCTGGCTCATTGCTTCACGCTGTTTCTTTTGGTTAAGTCTTCAAACACCTGGTTCCAAATTATGAAACAGCTCTTAGAAAAAGGATGTGAATCTTTGTGCTATCGTCCCAGGATCAACAGCACTCAGAGGCTGTACCTGGAGAGAGAGCAAGCCCCTCCAGTAGTTCAGCCCAGGTCTCTGCCCTCTTTCAGGGCCTGCCCTGTGGCTCTTGGCTTCTTGTGGGGCTGCAGTCTCTGCCCGGTTACAGTGAACAGCTCTATTGACTGAACTTACTTCCTCACGTAGGAACAGGCTTTCTCAGAGTTGAAGAGGTGAGAGCTTTCCTGGAAGCTCAGGTGGATCAGGAGGGGAATTTCCCTTAGACTCATTCATGACTCGGGAGGGATGGGCTTCTCTGCAGGCACTCCCCTGGGAGAGCTCTGGAGGCACCAGTTCTTCATGTTATTCTGCAACACGAAGCAGTGCTCTTAGGCACATCCACTGACTCTGAACAGGCACGTGGGAGTAGCTGGGATAATGACGAGATGATAAATTATGATGCTAAACCTATGGGATTACTCAATTTAAGAACAGCCAGATAGACATGAGTTTCACTCAACAGAAAAAAAGAAATAACTTATTACTGTAAGTTATTAGTAAGGAATCTATTATTGTGAGTAATCCCTTGCTAATTGCTTGACTAATCATTGCAACTTATAAAGGCTATCTTGTTGCTTGTCCTGAGTTAACTATTCATAGAAACTCGTGGATTAAAACATAGATGTTCCTTTGAATGAATAAAAAGGGTATACAAAGTAACACAAACCATACGCCATTACAACTAGTGTTTATTAAAAATGCAGTGGACAAAAAAGCAAGCCTCCAAAAAGTAGTCAGTTTCATTGCCCACCCAGCACCACTGAAACATACAGTGCTGTCAGCTCATTTCTATCACAAAAAGTTCTGTTGACTCATGCTTGGTTCATTATCTATAAATGTGCATAGTTTCAAGACTTGATAATGTAACATGAGCATAAAATGGCACCAAGGTCTATTTGCCCAAAGCTTCCAGCCACTCTCAACGCAAGTAAGTAGTGAGATGTGCGTAAGAAGGATGTGCGTGGCAGTCGTGTGTGTGCTCTGTAGGCCCTTGTACGGTCTCGGGTCCTTGGTGTGAGCTTTACAGCACGACAGCAAACTTCTCAGAAGCCAAAGAATCATATGCCCCAAACCACCATTTTATTACTATTGAGTATGTCTACGTTCCTTTTAGTTTTTAAAACTCTCTAGGGACTGGGTGAAGGCAGGGAGGGCAGGGTGTATTGTGCGTGGTGGAGGGGAATTAAGTGCTTGTGTAAATCAGTGAAGAGGTTACAGACGTGCTTCCTTTTCCTGGCAATTTGTTTCCATGATGAGTTTGGGCTGTAGGCACAGCAGCTCCACAGCTGACCATGGTCTCTCACGTTTGCAGGGCTGGGACTGGTGCTCAGTAGGGCAGTGCCACATCCACTCCTGGGAGGAAGCAGGGCTGCCCCTGCTATTAACTCACAGACAGATCGCAGGAATCAGGACTGTAACACTGACTGCAGGTGTACAAATGTTTATGGAGTTCAGGCACCAACCTCTCCAGACTCCTCCTCCTCCTTTCAGCTGTAGCTGCTCTGTGTGTCACTGCAGGTGCATTATCTTCCAGTGACAACGAATAAAGAATCAAATTAATCTGTAGTGGAAAAAGTGCCCTTTGTGGTAGCTAGTGTATGAGATTTGTAAAGGATTTGTAGTAAAACCACTTGCCTCCTCATCTTAGACCTGTGCTTGCTTTAAGTGATCAGGATGTGTGTGGCAGTGTGGTGTGTGCTTTACTGACGCACACAGTAATTTAACCTTATTTCATGAGAAGCAGCTACTTGCAAAGTTTAAGACGCTTTTTCAGTAGCCTCTTTGATGTTATTAGAGCTATCTTCAACTCTATGTGTATGGAGAGGGAGCACCTTGAATCATATGAAACGTCACATTAGCCATAAGCACTAGAAAACAAGTAAACCAAAGTTGAAAACACTCTAGAGCAGCATTTAAATTAACATTTCAGAAGGAGCCATTGGTATTAACAACAATGTCAAGTTATTTCTTATCTATACTAGTCAATTATCAAGGCTATTTAATGCTACATGACAGTGGCCACTGGTACATTTATGGGAACACTTAAGTGCTCTGAGGCCAGAAACCTTAATGAAAGCAAATTAGAGAAACATGCAGGAAACACCCTGGCCAAGGCAACAGCAACTACCTTATTCTTCCAAGGGGCTACTATAGTCTTAAAAGTTTATCTGTCGGGGCTATGCAGGTTGCTGGTTACTAGGAGCTGCACTATAGGATTTAAAAAATAGGGCTTGGTGTGGTATCTATTTCTAATGTCAGGAAGAGCTGACAGAGCCTACCTCTGAGCATGGCACCATTAGGCCCTTAAGCATGCAGACACAGGGCCTCAATGTATTTCAGCGCTAAGGTCAAAGTGCTGGAACATGCTTCAAACATTGTAAAACGTATCTTTCAGATCAGTGAAATAATTATTCCAAACCTAGAAATCCTCTGTTTATACACGGTGTTTTGCAGAGTGCTCAAGGCAGAGTTGCCACCTTTTTTTTCCTTTTGAAACAGATAATGGGGGTATATCCCACTCGCGGGCGGCAGTAGCAATGCAAAGGGCTGGGAGCTGCCCCCCTGACCTTGGCTGTTCCACAGTTACAGTCTCTGCTAAGGTAAGGTTCCGAGCTATGTTCTTGTCACTGTCACCTTCTAAATTCAACTAAGGGGGTCAGAGGGGTAGGCGGACAGACACAATTCTGAAATCTTAATCCTTGAGTTAAAAATAAGTTGCCAAATAATAGCACTTTCAGCACTCGCTTAATTTCCAGAGCTCAGAGTTGCCTGGTGTGATGACAGCAGCTCTGAATATTTCACAGCAAGAAGGGGAAAAAAAAAAACCAAACGACCTCTGTGGTATAACTAAGAACCTTTGCTCAAGCTGAGGATACTGAAATGAAGGTATTGGCAGAGTAGTGAAGTCTGTCCTCTAAAAAACTACCCGGTTATCAAGAGGGATGAGTGGCTCCACAGATCACCAAGCAGTAAGCTGACAGAGTAAGGCAAAACTGGAGTTGTGTGGGACACCTGCTGAGGTCTCCAAGCCTAACAACTGAACAAAAGTAGAGGCTGAACATGAGCAGTGGTCACCTGGAGAGCTGGTGGTGTCTGGATATGATTTAGACCCTTGAGAAGTCTCCCCTCTGCCCACCTGTCTTACTGAGCAGCTTCACCTCTTCGATCACAATGTCATGAGTAACTGCCTTGCACATGTCATACACAGTCAGGGCAGCCAGGCTGGCAGCTGTCAGAGCCTCCATCTCCACGCCTGTCCTCCCCCAGGTCTGACAGGAGCTGCGAATCACCACTGCGTATCTGGCCTCATCCAGGCTCAGAGACACCTCAACATGGTTGAGAGGGATGTTGTGACACAAAGGGATCAACTGGCTGGTCAGCTTGGCGCCCTGAATTCCTGCTATCTGGGCTACTGCCAGCACATCCCCTTTCTTCACCTGGTTCTGCCTCACCATCCCAAATGCCTTCTCACCCAAGCGGACCACAGCACCAGCAACAGCACTTCTTCTTGAATCTGGCTTCCCTCCAACATCAACCATCGTGGCCCGTCCTTCCTCATCAGTGTGAGTCAAGTTGTCAGAGGCACGAGGTACCTTGGTGGAAGATCCTGAATCCCTGGTAAAGAATTCAGATCCTGGACTTGCCTCTTTGGACTGACAGTCCACAGAAACTTGGCCAACAGGAGAAGCCTCAAGGCACTTTGTGTCAAACGTGGAGCTTGGGTCCTTCTGGAAGACACAGCAGCCTCTGAGCTGGGTTTGTAGAATTCCTGTCGTTATATGCCACTGTTGCTCTGGGTGAGATCCTGGCAGGAAAAGTTGTCCTTTAAGCTTATTTTTCATTAATGCTTTTCCCATTTTTTTGGGTAAACTTGCTCTCAAAGTTAGCCGATGGCTAAATGTGTGGCCCCACTGTTTTGAATTTGGGGGATTCTGTAGGGCATCTTGGCACAGTGGGAATGACGTCAATGCACACTCTGGGGAAAAAAGAAAAGTAACATGAGAATACATCTTACTAGCTGGAAAGCTAAGCTAAGTCTGCAGTAGCTGAGACCTGTCAGAGCACTGGTCAGGACTCTGTATTGCAAAAACCTCAATAAGCCTGCAAAAATCCACTTTTATCTGCTCTTTATCTTCTCTCTCGTCAGTTCCCTACATTTGCTGGTTTTTTATTACAAACCCCAAGCCTCAAAATGTTTATTTCAAGGTCCCTGACAAGAAGAAACAACTTGCTTTCAAAAAGTATCAATACTTATTGAGAAGCAACAGCCAAGAAAGCTTATAGGCACATCAGTTCTGAAGAAAAGCAAGTCATAACACTTCAGCATCCATTTGAGATGGTCCCAGCACCGATCTTCTTTTGAAAGCCTGGCAGGGTTAATAGGAAATTCTTGCACTGAGATTCTCACCTCTGCCTTTCCACACACATTCCTGCCAGCACAGGTGGCTGCACTTCCTGCTTTTACCTCCTTCTGCAGGGAAGGGTCATGCCAGCACTTGAGGACAGCAGGGACCTGGAGCACTGCATCTGCCACGGCACTGTCTGCAAGCTCAGAGGGTGGCTCTGTGATGGGAACCTCTCTTATTACTGCCAGCTCTTACCGCCTTAATGACAGCTGAAGTTTAAGCACTGGAAAAACCACGCTCCCCTCACTGACAGATCGATATTGGATCTACTCAGAAGTATGTTCCAAGTTGAGCTGGCAGAGCTCCCAGCTGGCAGAGCAGTAGTAAACCCTCCTGCCCCTTTTCACCATTTAATCCCTTGGTTTTGGCATCTGCACTGGGCTATATGCCAAGTGCCAAGACTCAAGGAGTCTCTTTCACATAAAAGAAGTGATTTGTTTTGTAAGTAAAGAGAAAGCAGCACAGAGGTAAGTGGCTAAGCCCTAGTTTAATAGCCCCATTGATAAACAGGTTTCTCTTTTTCTGGAGCTCCTTCTCTCTTTGCTCTGAGAAACTTGGAATTAGGTTTTGCTCTAAACCCTCCTTTGGTAGCTCTAGTATTTATCCCTTACTCATGAGTTTTCAGACTGTCCATAGGTGAATCAAAGCAGCTTCCTGGCCCCTCTGCACCTTGCTAAGCTACTTCTGCTGCCCTGACCCACAGGTATCACCTTGGACTGTCCACATGGCAATAACAGATACGGTGTGGACAACCCATTGGTGTTGTTCTGTTTTTTTCTGAAACAAAGTGATCTCTTGTTAGCCCCAGCCTGTGCTATAACAAGACTGATGCTCTTAGCACCTTTTTCATCCAAAGTACCCTACAAACATTGATGTGAAAGTGCCCATTACTAAAGCTTAAGTCAACCACAGATTTCATGATTATTCTTTTTAAAAAACACTGCAATAATCTAAATTCAGTCAAAGGCCCTTTTTAATCTACAGCTGATGGTATATCTGCTAAAACTAAGATTCCTGCAAGTTTACTGGTAATGTGTTTACCTTCAGAGGAATAGGATTAAATGGACATAAATGTTTTGAGTGCAACACTGCTTTCCTTTAGAAGTGCACATAAAATTGTGCTTATTCTGCCTTTCTTTCCCTCTCTCTTTATACAGTGGGGCCTAACCTGAATATTGCTTTTAGAATCCAGAAACACAAAGTACTCCATTCTTCTGTATTCCTTGATTAGCTTTAAAGCTAAACCCCTGGCAAGTTATCTTGTCTTCAGAAGAAGCTGGACTGCAAAGGCAGACAAGTGCTTACTTCCACAGGGTAAACACACATGGGTGGGACCACAGAAGAGAAGTCCTGTTTGCTCAAGTACAGTGGTAAGTAAAAAGACAGCAACAATAATGCATGCAAAGCATCTTTGCTTTTCCTAACAGCCTACATTTTCTTCAGGTTGTACCTAGTCATCTCTATCTTCACCCAAATTGCTCATCTGTCTACAAAAAATAGATAATGGTTTTCTACAGTACTTTATATAACATAACTAAAAACATCTAACAAACCGCATCTCCTTATATTCTATTACTGCACCTGAAGTTTAATTCTATTAGCTTCCAACTAGCACAATCTCAGGGGCTGTGGGGGAAGAAGGCAGGAGATGCTTAGATTAAGGAGGAAACTCCCGTAACTGAAGTGAACCTGTGAGGAGAACAACCTGCCAAAAGGAATATTTTGATTAAGGGAAATAAGATACAAACCACATAGCAAAGGATCAGACAACAGCAGTACAGGGAAGAAGCCAGGTTTGTCTTACTGGGACTAGGAAAGCCAATTAATGATTTCCACAGCATTCATTAAGTTACATTAAATTAATTCCATACCCCTCCCCCCACCCCCCAATGACTGCTTGCACGCCAGCATTATTTGAAGTTTGTAAGTAATTCAAAACACAATTAGGAAATCTCCTAATGATTCCCCATGTGTCACAGTGGGATACTCTCCACTCATCTCCAGTCTCTCTACTGGTACGGTGACTGCCAGCAGTTAGTCTCAAAGGGACAGGGAACAGCTGGGGAAGACCTGGACAGGCTGCCTCTTTCGCTCTGTCAGACAATGTTAATGCACTTTTCAAAAGGAAATTGGATGGATCTGGTCTGTAGACATCCAAACATTGCTATGAATGCTAACTCTGGAGTGTAGGGATTCTTTCAGCAGCATCTTGAAAAATTATGTAGGTCCCAGTGAGCTGTCAAGAGTTTAATATAGTACTTTTCATTTAAAAAAAAAAAAAAACCCAGAAAATTTTTTCGCATGCAGCAAGTCAATACACACTTTAAACAAAGTGTGTTCTTTCTTCCTGGACCACAATGCAGCAGTTGCCAAACACAAAAGAGCTAAAGCAAACTAAACTGAGGGAGACAATCTTGCACCACTGAATCCATTCACTTTACAACTCAACATGGAAAATGATGGTCCTTTAAAAGGGGGCATCAAGTTAAAAAAACTTCCCAGTGAAAACCTATTTTAAAAGATCTCTGTAGAGCGTATTTCCTAATAAAGGCAAGAGAAGTACAAGCACTAGGGTCTTGGTTTAAAAAAAAAAAAAAAAAAAAAAAAAAGAGACCACCACCAAAACACAAACTCAAAAAACAAAGCAAAACCCACCAAAACCCTGAATTAAACCACTGCAAACAAAAACAAAGATCAAAACTTCCCCACCCCTTAATTTCTTAGGTAAGCATAGGAATAAATTCTCAAAA